CCAAGAGATCCAGAGTTGAAAAGGAGCTCTAGAAATATTTCGCATCATCAGTAAGAAAGGAGGCGTGAACTTGTTAAATGTTCTTACACGGTGTTCTGTAACAAAAACGTTAGGTCCTAAAACAAAAATAAAAAAACACAGAAAAATTTGACAGTTTTATTAAAAAGGTTAGTTTAACATTCCATCTCTCTACATGGGTCTGTTATATGCACCTCTAACATAAAGGCAGAACTATTTGAAGTTATTTCTCTGAGGCAGAACTGTTTGAAAGAACAATTTTTTTAATATATCGTTTGATTCTAATAACAACGCTTTTCCTAACATCCCAGAGAACCAAATTAATCCAAAAATGACCCAGATCTCAGATTCCTTTATATTACTCATTAAACTATTTAACAAGTAAAAAAACTTGTTATTCAGTTCCCAGATCCCTTTATATAACTCTTTAAACTATTTAACAAATAAAATAACTTGTTATCCAGTTTCCAGATCCTTTTATATAACTCTTTAAACTATTTAACAAGTAAAACAACTTGTTTTCCAGTTCCCAGACCCCTTCATATTAGTCATTAAACTATATAACAAGTTTTCAACTGTTTTTTTGTGTCTGTTGCAAAATAACGTCTCTGATTCTGATTATTAAAAAATTATTAAAAATGCCGTGCCTTTTACAGCACAGCCTTTTTATTAATCTTGAAAAAGATTTTTTATTACTTTTGGCAAGTTTTTTAATTAACAACTTTTAAAATTAATATTGAACACAAATTATCTTTAAAAAAGTAGTGAGGTAGAGGTAGAGCGCTTGCTTCATAAGCAAGAAGTTCCGAATTTGATCTCTACCACGTCTTTGGAAGTACAGTACTTAAATTGTTTCTCTGCGCAATAGCTTCATTCTTCAAGGTTTGTGTTTAGAGTTATAGAGTTAAGAGAGGGTTCTAACAACAACGGTTTTTTAACGGTTTGTTTTTATTGTAACGATTGTCTTTGTAACGATTTTTATTTATTATACCTGATGACATCATAAACACATCTTGCTAAGATGCTCTATACGTTTTCGATGGGATTTAAATCAGGTGAGAGCGTTGACCATTGTAATAATTAAATTTTCTTGCTGGTAAACAATGAGATATTTTACTTTGCTCTATGAATTGGACCATTATCTTGCACAACAAGTGATTTTGATTTATTGGGAATCTTAAAAAGCTATGCCTACGCATAATAAACCAGGTAAGCCTACGCTATGAACAGTAGATCAGTATGCCTACGCATAGTAGACCAGTTGGTAGATAATAGTAAAAGATAAAAAACCTCAAAAATGACATTATTACCGTTTTGTAACATGTAGCATTATAGATCAATGTAACTTGAATCATAACTATAATTAATTTAACTAATAAATATAATAAATAATAATAAGTCTATCAATAAGTATTTAAAAAAAATGTTGTTGCTGACTAGTTCATATAATTTATGTTTAATAAAAATAATTTATGTTGTATTGCCAAACACAACATGATTCATACATACCGATGTATGTATATAATATAAATTAAATATTGGCAATTTATCATTTTCAAAAAATTATGGGTTTACCTAAAAAATATTAAACCGATTCTAAATTTTTGCAAGAGACTGTGTGTGTGTATATATATATATATATATATAAATATATAAATATATAAATATATATATATATATATATATATATATATATATATATATATATATATATATATATATATATATATATATATATATATATATATATATATATATATATATATATATATATATATATATATATATATATATATATATATATATATATATATATATATATATATATATATATATAATTAAAATTCAATAAAAACGGCTGCGTATAAACTTTTTTGAAAAAATTTATATATATGTTTTTTTTTAATATATATTATTCGATACTTCAGTGATATTGTGTTAGATTCTGGAAAATATGAAACATAAAGATATAAAAATGTTTCATTTTGGATTTAATTTTATTAGATGAGGAACATTAGACGAGGGACAAGAAGCGCAAAAATATCTAAATTACTTATTATCCGATCTGGATAGGACTTAATATAGCTACTATTCATACATATGAACCAAAAACTTTCATAAGATATGTAAACAATTGTCACGCTCACTTTTTTTTTTTTTTTTTAATGTTGATTTAGGTGCCCCAAGAAGTCCTTACGGTCTTATCATAGAGCACCGCGGAAGAGCATTTAATAGGAAGTTCACGCCTCCTTCCCAACCGATGTCGCAAAACTTGTCCAGAGGTGGGGTTTGAACCACGGATCTTACGTTTCTTTGACTTTGACTCAATAAAACAACAACAAATATTTCTAAGTATCCTAAACGAACAAAATCCTGCCATAAAATACAACGTTGAACTTGAAAACCACCAAAAACAACTTATTTTTTGAGATATTATTATTACGAACACAAAGAAGCAATAAATAATATTTTACCTAAACCAAACTCAAATATAAAACCTAATGTTATCACTGGCGCATTCAAAGGGTTTTTATGTCGTGCAAAAAGAATATCTTCACAAAAATACCTCCAACATGAAAATGATTTTTTAATAAAAAATATTTGTTGAAAAAGGGCACGACAAGAACATTGTAACTAAAATAGCCAGAGACTATATAAAATAGTTAAAAAAATACGAATTGACAACTGACAACCAACCGTTTATAAAGCTACCATAGATACCAATTATTCGTCTTTTTAATGTTATCTTTTTAACGGTTTGTTTTTATTGTAACGATTGTCTTTGTAACGATTTTTATTTATTATACCTGATGGCATCATAAACACATCTTGCTAAGATGCTCTATACGTTTTCGATGGGATTTAAATCAGGTGAGAGCGTTGACCATTGTAATAATTGAATTTTCTTGCTGGTAAACAATAAGATATTTTACTTTGCTCTATGAATTGGACCATTATCTTGCACAACAAGTGATTTTGATTTATTGGGAATCTTAAAAAGCTATGCCTACGCATAATAAACCAGGTAAGCCTACGCTATGAACAGTAGATCAGTATGCCTACGCATAGTAGACCAGTTGGTAGATAATAGTAAAAGATAAAAAACCTCAAAAATGACATTATTACCGTTTTGTAACATGTAGCATTATAGATCAATGTAACTTGAATCATAACTATAATTAATTTAACTAATAAATATAATAAATAATAATAAGTCTATCATTAAGTATTTAAAAAAAATGTTGTTGCTGACTAGTTCATATAATTTATGTTTAATAAAAATGATTTATGTTGTATTGCCAAACACAACATGATTCAAAATAAACATTATAAATCCAGATGTATTCCCAAGTGTATTCAGCTGTTTCAAATAAGTATGTAGAAGTATATTACAAAATTTACATAGTATTTTATTATATGGAAGTGAAGTTGTAAGATAATTTTAATTATTTATTGGTAGACATGCTAAAGAAGCTCAAGAATCGTGCAACAAAGTTTTTAATAAGTTTTGAGAGCCTTTTTTAAGCACAAATATATTATTCCGTAAAATATAATTAACGTGGATAAACTACGAAGGTTTCTTTCTTCTTCATATCTTAATTAATAGTAACAGAAAAAATGGTTCAAGCAAAAAGAAACTATATAATTTATTTGCTGTTATAGTTATTTTCTAATCAATACCGTCTCATTAATATTAAAGAAAATTGATTTTTTTTAGATAATATTTGTCTCTTTTATTAATAACGTGAAAGCTCTGGTTACAGAAACAAATTTGTATTACTGTTCAAACTACAACAACCAAATTACAAGTTGGTCAAAAAATGTTTTTAATATTATAATTTTTAATTTTTTTAAATGTAAATTTACCTTTCAAAGATCGAAAAGGCCACTACTGTTGAGAAGGCTGCATTAATTGTGTTTAAAACCTTTTAACTCTTTAACTCCGAAACCTTGATAATTGGTCGCTGCGCGGAGAAACAAGTTCAGCGCGGAACTACCAGGGACGGGGTGGGAATCGAATTCGGAACTTTTCGCTTATGAAGCGAGCGCTCTACAACTACACCACCATTATTTCAAGGTTTTAGGCTTAAGTTTTTTTTTAATATGAAATAAAAGTTTCAAAAAATACAAAATAGAGACCTGGTACTCTTGCAGTCAACTTGTAGATAACTTAACACTCAGCTTGTTAACATTGCAAAAAAAGCTCTTGCAAGGCATTTTGTCCTTAGCAACCAAACAAACAATCCAACAATAGTACTAAGTTTAACGTATAAAAAAATACTTAATCTAGTAACAGTAGAGGTAGTCTGATAAATATTTTAGAAGTTATGAATTTTTTTCCTTAATTAATGAATTTGCTCCACTGTTCAACGTTGCCAATATTACAGACACGAACTTTAAATATACGATATGCAGCCGTGGCGCCGTGGCGCAGTGGTTAGAGTTCTGGCTCAGAACCTAAAGGTCCGAGGTTCGATGCCAGCTCCAGCCCAACAAGCAACATTGGTACGGAAGGAGGCGTGAACCTCCCGTTAAATGCTCTCCCGCGGTGCTCTGTGATAAGACCGTAAGGACTTCTAGGAGCACCTAAATAAAAAAAAATTTGCAAACTTGATATAACCAATTGACGTACATACGCTTTTATACAGCGTTGTATGAAAATAAGCATTTGCCAACAAGATGAAGTTGCATTTTTTTTTTCTTTCTTCATTTAAGTCTCAAAAATTTAAATAGAGAAAAAAATTTTTTTTAAGATTTGAAGTTCTTTATTTTTCTATACTCTTTACAACATCTTTTCTTAAATTTCTTTTTTCTTTGCTGTTGTTTGTTTTTCGTTTAGTTTTGACGCTCCTAAAATAAAAGCTTTAGCGAATTAGGCTCAGTCTGTCCTATTTTGTATTCTATAAGGATAATACAATTAATTAACAGATAATAAATACATTTAATAAACAGGTAATAAATATATTTTATTTATCTTTTAGAACTAATTTCATTGAGAGTTTAAATAAATGGTTCCGATTACTTCAGATCAGCAATGGAATTTACAACATTTTTATCTATGCAAAGATCCACGCGAATTTTTCGAAAAATTTATCTTTTATGCAGGTATTCTTTTGTATAAAAATAAGCTCAGAAATCAGCATTTTATTCTAAATCTTTTGTTACAAAAGTTATTAAAAATTTGACTTGTTCGCAGAGTCCTTAAGTTATTAAATATAAAACTTTCTTATTACTTGATATATATATATATATATATATATATATATATATATATATATATATATATATATATATAATGTTTATAAATTTATAATTAAATGTTACTGTTTTAATGTTGTGAATTAAATTATGCAATTTGTTTACGCGGTATTTATAACACGAATATTCACATTTTTAAATATATGTTATAATGTATTAATATTATATTCAAGTTTTAAAAATTAAGATCAACTTTATTTTATTTATGGAAATATCAGATGAGCAGTTGAATATTATCAACCACACAGGGAGAAGTAATTGAATGCGTATTAGTGCATACAACTAGAAAGCGATTCGAAACCAGTAATTTTGTTACGTACACAAATATTTAAAAACTTTAATATACTTTTTATTTTAATAGCGTATTTTAATTAGGGATGTACCGAAGCTGAAATTTTGCCGAAGCCGAAGCTTCGGCCGAAGCCACTTTGCCGAAGCCGAAGCTTCGGCCGAAGCCGAAGCTTCGGCACTATATATGCTTAAAATTTAATCAGCATTCAGATCAGCAGGGGTATAAAACAAAAAAGGTACCAAAACTATGGTCCTTGACTAATAATATAGAAAAATCGTATAAAAATGAGGACGCCAGTCAGGGTTGCTGTTCCAGGCAGGGCAAAAGCTCTCAGCGCCCCTGTTTAAATATTTCTCATTATGTCGTTTCTGATACTTGACCGCACCAAGCGTTTTTTTTTTAAACTTAAGCTTTTTTAAAACATTCTTCCCAAATTTTCCTACTTCTAGTTCTACTTTTTCTGTGTGAAAACCATATTAATGTTATATAGCATCTTTTCATGTGCTGTATATCTTATTTTTATTTTTAATGCACCTTTTGTTAATAGAAATGGATAAAAATCTCTAAACATTACTAGAGTAAATTTATCTTTTGCACTTGATCACTCTTTCTTTAAATAAACACTCTTAGCTGATCTAGTTGTATCTACAACATAAAAAATGTTAGAAACACACTTTAACTTTTTATTGCTATTTATTTCAATATCTTTTTTTTACTTCTCTGTATTCTTTAAACGAACAATTTCTAAACTGAAAAAAACCCAAGTTAAGACCATTTTGGATTCCACTACAACTGTTGTGAACCTGCTGCTAAAAAAAAGTACAAATGATAGATTTCTCTCTAACTTCTTTTTTACACACTTTTAAGTATTTTTTTTTATTTTTTTTAACTGTACACTACATAACATTTTCTATAGCTTTTTTAAATTTTTTACACTTTAAAATCTTAGTATTCATTCTTCTTTTGTCTCTATAATGGATAAATCTGCATCAGTATCTGAAATCAAATATTAACTATCTGTGGTAAAAGCTTCCATAGTAATCTAACAACTCTGTAGAGTAAGCTTTAAATAAAATAATAAATAGAATACTTTATAAATTTTTTATTTATAATTATATTATTATTCACTTTATATTTATAAGTAAACAGGGATTGAGCTAGCTGATATTTATTTGATTTAAATTGTTTATTTAATTTAAATAAATTTTGATGATAAATATAAGAGCTCAAAGTAATCAAAGCTTCAACCTTTAATTTATTTTAAATAAAATTTAAAAGTCTTCATAATATCATAAGAAGAAACCAGAATATTGGTTTACATGTTTAATATATAAATTCAATTTAGAAGTATTCATAATATTAATAAAAGAGCAAGGATAGTTATTATCATTGTTTTTCTTTTTCTTTTAATTTATCTAGTTTTTGTTGGCTTTTTTTTTCTTTTTTTATTCTCCTCGTTTATATTTCATTTGCTTTTCTTCCTTTTTTGTTGTTGAGAACTTTTTGTTTTTTATGTGTCACTCCAATGACTATTTTGTATTTATATAAGTGACACCTAACCAATTTCTGTAAACTTACGATGAAAATTTGTAAACTTTTATTAATATGGTTAAATAAAATTTAAAAAAATTAAACATACACACAATTTAAAATAGTAGCAACGTATCTTTAATCTTCTTTAAAGAGAGATTACTAAGGTTTATTGGTCAAATGTTGAAACCAAATTTTGTTCTATTTGCGGTAATCCCACACAATAATTAATATGAATTCGTTACATAATACAAATTAAGGTTTTAAAAAGTTTTAATTTGTTTTAAATTATAAGGTTTTTATTCTGCATAGAAATGCTGCTTCAGTTCATCTAAAGTCACACTTGGAAGCTTTCAAAGTGTATGAGGACCTTCCCTAATTTTATTATTTTTTTCAAAACATTTTTACTTATTTATTATTATCCCCTCCATAACAAGACACTTGGGAGTAAATAATACTAAGTATATGGTATAGACTCCAACTTTAACTCTGTAATCCTAAATTTATAACTTTATTAGACACTGGCAATTAGCTTATTTTTATAACTTGTCCCACAGTAGCTTATAACTTTAATTACTTAAAATTTTTTGCCGAAGCCAAAGATTCGGCAAAAAATTGACCTGGCTTCGGCTGAACCGAAGCTTCGGCAAAATTGCCGTAGCTTCGGCACGCCGAAGCCGAAGCCGAAGCTTCGGTACATCCCTAATTTTAATAGCATTATAATAGCGTTAACGATTTTAAAAACGAGTTTGTTTTTTTACGTTGTGGATTTTTTTTTTATTATTTTATAAACTGATTAAAATGTATCAAAAGTTTGTCAATCTATCAAAGAAAAGTTAGATATTTAAAATAATAGTTATAATAAATTATAATAACTTTTAATAATTTCTATTTCTAGAAAATATTAAAAATTTATTAATTTCTTTCAACTCTAAAAAGGCAAATTGAAAATCACTTAGAGTAATAGCGGGTAACCGATCACCGAACAATAAAAATCAAGTAACTTATTTTTATAAATTTTTAAACCATTTTTTTTAAATAACATAGAATATGCCAACAAGCACATTATTTATTAAATTTTTTTTTTATTGTATTTGAAAATATGAAAACTAGAAAAAAAAATGATCTTTTTTTGCAGAAAGTCTGTACATTTAATAAATTTAACATTTTATATATGTAAATGTATATATTTTTATATATTTTTTATATAGCATACAGAAATAATAAAAGATTTAAGATTTACATTTTTTACAAAAAAAAAAATTTGAACCCATTACAAAATGTTTTGGCAAATATGTTTTGTTGCAGAGCCAAGTATTGCAATTTGGATTCTCGCATGACATCATGTCCGAATGTAATTCTTTTTTACACTTTCTGCATTTAATACCTTTTCTTCTTTTGGCTGAAGGTGTTATAATCGGTTCTATATTTTACAGATGGTTTTACATATTTGCAGATGGTTTTACGCTTTTTAGCTTGTTTTTCAGCTAATTTGAGTTGCTTAACTTCTTCTCTTTCTTTGAGATGATCTGCAACACCGTGTTCTGTAATAAATTGGACAGCAATTTTTGGAATATTAGGTTGCCTCGATATTTTTACATCAGACTAATTTTTTACGTGAAAAAACTATTTAGCTCATTTTCCATTTCGATTTTCATTCTCTCATGTTGTGCTCTGTACTTGTCGAACCTCAAAGCTGCTGTTGCTGGTTTAGAAAATAACGCTAAAGACTTTGTTGTTCGCAATGGCGTTGAAGACGTCGGTTGATTAAACGTTTCGGAGATAGCTAATGCTGTTGATTTATTTTGTTTTTGTTTAAAGGAAATAACCCAGTATATTCAAAACCAGCAATAGCGCGCAAACGTGTAAAACACCGTTCTCATACACATCTTTGAGCAACGTAAGAAAATTTTCTTTATCTAAGTTTTTGCATTTTGTGACTTTTAATATTTGGTAAGAACTGCCTTCCACCTTTGCTCAACATGGCAATAGACACCTCTATCCAGTGGCTGAAAAATGTGAGATGAGTGGGTTGGTAGACAAATTAAAATTAAATTGTTTTCCCGACATAGCAATACAGCTGCTAAACTGACGTGAGATGTATGCTATGCTCCATCCAACCAGATTTAGAAATTGAACATTTAGTGCCAGTCGGACCACCTAAAACCCACTCAGCTCTAAAGTTTCGTTTTGTTTGTATGCCACGAATGGTGGTGTAAAGCATCCATCAGCATTACTGCAATTAATTCACTGTATAATGTATTTTTTCAATTTTACTAGCAGGGCTGTGGAGTGGGAGTCGGAGTTGCTAAACAAAATCGCGACTCCTATTCCAATAGTAAAACTTCTTGGTATTGCACGTGCATGTACAAATCATTCAATTAACCTTTTGTTCATATTAAACCTCAAAGAGCGTTTCATAAATTTGTTACAAAAAAAAAATTTTAACTTATTGCGTAATATTTTTTAAAGAATTCAAAGAGTTTTTCAAAAATTTTGCTTTGGAGTTGGAGTCGGAGTTGTACTCAAAAAATTTCAACTACTGGAGTCGGAGTCATTACTTTTTTTTTACGACTCCACACCCCTGGTTACCAGTGAGTTTCAAAACACGCTTTGCACCTTTTCGACATACTGTAGTTGCTTTGCCTTGATCACCACAGAAACCCGTTTTATCGCAATTCCAAATGTGACAACCAGAAGTTATCCTAGACAATTGATATTGTTTAGTGACAACTTCAAAATAGTTATCAAATATTTCTTGCGTACAAAAAGCGGCTCTGGCAGATGCTAAAGTGTGAATTTTTCTTGAGGAAATTTCTTTAAACCATCGGTTTATAAATGCATAAAACAAGTCTTTACCAGGCCTGCCGTTTTTAAATAGGCCTGATTGATTTGTACGAAGAAGGTAACCGCATACGAAGTCCATGACATCATTTAGTGTTAAACCATAACCCCAATCACATAGGAACTTAAACGCATGCACCGTAATTAACTCTGTTTGCTGTGAGAGTACAATTTTTGATCCTGATCCCTTGAAGTTAGCGTTGTTGTTGTTCTTGCGACCTATTAGAGTTGAGAATGGAATGCCATATTTGAATGCAGCTTTTCTGATTGAAGTATTTTTTTCTTTTATATCATTTAACGCAGCCTCTATATCTTCTTCATTGTATGACTTTTTACTTGCTTCTTGAAAGTGAATAATTAATAAATATTATTGAGTCATTTTTGTAAAATAAATTTATATAGGAAGAACTCGGAACTAACACATAAGAAAATTCAATAATTTTATTCACCTCGGTACCTAATTTAAAAATTCACATACTACTTAGTAAAGGAATTTAAAGTAAATACATGAATGATACGCGATGATTCTCTCTCTTCTGGTTTTTTTATTCTTTAAATATTCCTATCAGTTTTAAATATTCCTATCATACTATTTTTTCGATCACTGATCGAAAAAATAGAATGATCGGTTTGACCCGCTTTTACTCTAGTACGTTGTGTTTTACGAGGCAAATTACACAAAGAATCAGACAACTAAATAAACATTTAGTGACCTCCACTAAAATTGTTATTTTTTAATTATGTTATAATAATATGA